TTCTTTTCCCTGTATAGATTTTTTAATTAATTCACTTTAAAAATATGGTTATATCAGTTTTTTGGCATGTTAATTTGGTCAGTCGGCTTTCCACAAAAGTTCGCAGACCTAATTTATCGTATTCAGTGAACAGTTCATATATTGGGCTAGCTGTATGCATGTAACGCAGGATACGTCGCATCGTCAAATGACTGCAGCGATAAGTGAGATGGCCTGGGCCACAACCCCTATGAGAAATGAAACACTGGAAAACAGAAATAATCAGTGTCGGAGAGGGAACTGAGAGCGCGGTGAAGAGCAGCGGATGATGTTTTCTGATGTTGAAAACCTTCTTCAAAAAAGAGGGCTCAAAGACTAAACTTCCATATTGTGTTTGCCAAAAATTTAGAAAATTCCAATTCTTTGTGAGGATTTCCGAGTACAGATGACCCCTTTTGGTCCAAGAAGCTTGAAGACAAAATCTCGCCCAACATTGTCTGCCAAATAAGAAAGGAATCAAAATATGACTCCAGGGTCCACTGTCTTTTGTGTGCGGTTATTGATAGAGGAAATTTGATTCAGAATGTTCCTGTGGAGGGGCGAGAAAAAGTTAATACGGTGAAAGTTTGCTGTGCTTTTACCTTAATGGAGCACAGTTTGTTGTTTCATAAAGTTCGAAACCTATGATGTGCCATTTAAGTTGATCTAAATATTTAAGGAGAGAAGAGGTGTTTTTTGTTTGTTATGTACTATTTGAATTAACAGTTCCACTGTCAGTATAAAATACTCTCATTCAGTAATTTTGGATCATCAGTATATTGTATATTGGTAAAACCATTTTGAAGGAGTTAGAGGTTAATAGTTTGTCTACAGACACGATTTATGATAATAAGTTATGCTGTTGTTTTATTCATGTAGCCAATCCCACTAGTGGGAAAAAGATTTCCTTGTTTTTGGTTGTTGTGTACTCTATTTTTTGTTGTTGCCAGCTTATGTCTGTTGGTTTCTTCTTTTGGAATAATAATTACTATTTTTCATGCCGTATAATTTCTTTGAGATATTGTTTTCCTTCATACTATGGCGTAAACAGTGAAGATATGATTTTGAAATCAATTATTTGTAATGAATAACATGCAAACTGGAGGAGGATCCAAATCTGTAGTTTGGGTTAGATGCTTACTTTATCCTTGTTGCCACTGAACTTATTATATATATAATTACGTTTATGGCCCCTCTTTAGTGTTCAGCCGTGCTTATGCTTTTACGCGTTTTTCTTTTATCTAGGATTTTTCTTGGATGATATCTTGCTCTTACTCTAGTTGTATTTTCCTCTTCTTTGTAGTGAAATTTCTTTCTTCAATAAAATAATCCAGTCCAATACATTGTTTGTCCATACTTCTGGAAGACTAGAAAAAGCTTTTACAGAACTAAGACATGCAACACTGCAGGTCAATCCACTTGTTCTTCTTATTATTGTTAGTTAAATATGGAGAATCTTTAAGTTAGATGGTAATGCTCGAGTGCATTTGGATGAGGTCGTAGAATAGGTTTATCGTATGCTCTGCTTGGATTCACTGTTTAACAGATAACATCTGCAATTTTATATTTTCTCTGGAGTATTTAGAGCATAAATTTCAATATGCATACGGTACTTGGACCTACTACTGTGGAGCATATTTACTTGTGTAATTACATCATCACTGGCCTATCTCTAAGATGTTCTTTACAACTGAAAATTCATTGCTTCAAACTGTTTTTTGGATGCTTTCACCTCAGTCTCTTCTTTTTATTGGACATTTCCTTTTACTAAATTTTAAATATCTTTTAGCAGTGTATACCTTTCCTCTGTCACGCCTTTGAAGGCATTTGTGAATTTTCGCGGGGGAAATCTTACTTAATCAAGAAATTCTTTCTATATAACTTCTTGACTTCTGGGGTGTTATCCTTTAATATGCAAAAAACTTTTGGCAAGGTTAATTATTTTAATAACTCTGATCATTGATCTAATTCAGTTTTCCTATGTGGAAGGATGCAGGTTATTTTACAGGTGAATGTTGCTGTTAATTTTCTTAGAGATCCTTGTATAGAAATTCTTCAATTTGAAAAACTTCAGGAGAGAATGTCATCTCCTGACAGCAGGTTGAATGCACTTTATACAGATCAGGATTCATGTGCAGACCTGTTAAATTGGATACTTCCTTTGGATAACGGGAAGCCTTCTACTTGTCCACCATCTCCTCATTTAACTTCAACTTCAGGAATCGGTAACTCGTCTCAGAGGTCCAATATGTCAGGATCATCTAGCTCTCAATTATTCTCCTTTAGCAATTTTAGAAGTTACTCCATGTCATCATTGCCGCAACCTGTGAATGCTCCAGCAGCTCCTGTTAAAGCAGCTAGTTCCAAGCCAAGTTTTGACATTGAGGAGTGGGATCAAATCTCATCTCAGAAATATTTATGGAAGAAAATGGGGGTTGAAGGACTTCTATCTTTTCGAGGTGTTTCATTGGAACGAGATAGATTTTATGTTTGTTGTGGATTAGAAGGCCTATATACACCAGGAAGAAGGTGGAGAAGGAAACTTGAAATAATACAACCATTAGACATTCATTCTTTTGCTGCTGATGTCAATTCGGATGATCTTCTTTGCGTTCAGATAAAGGTTTGAACTACGATGTCATCCATCAAATTTAACAATTTTTTGTGTATAGTTTTGTGAACATCCTATCCTAATATCTTAATCTGTCAGATGAAGATACATGAGTGGTTTTATATTATATTTCGAGCACAATGTCACGCAAGAGCCATTAAGCTTGAACCGTGGAGAAAATATCTTATGATGAAATTAAACTTAGTTTTATGAAAGAATGGGGCTTAGAGGGATTGAACTCTGGACTACTTGATCCTTGAGACTTTGATACCATGTAATAAATCAACTATGCTAATAGCTTAAGCTGTTAGGTGAAAACATGAATGGTTTAATTATTTATATTATATTTAATGTATATTATGTTTTCATGCTTCTCTTTTAGCCATTTTAACTGTTTTTTTTCAGTTCTGCTTTTATTAACAGTGCTTTACCTGTTCTCCAGAATGTTGCTCCTACACATGCTCCAGATATTGTGATATTTATAGATACCATTACTCTTGTTTTTGAGGAACTAGCACAAAATGGATCACTGTCGTCGTTGCCGATTTCATGTATTGAAGCTGGAAATGATCATTCTTTACCAAATCTAGTGCTCAGGTTATTTTACCGAATCAGTATTTTAATGTTTGTTATAACTCTATCATTACTTTTCTGATGTCTTGGTTGATCTTAATACATAGCTATCAAATTAAATCTGCTTGTGTAGATGGATAACTCCATCCCCAAACATGTAAAACAAACCTTGTCAAACGGGGGAAGGGGGTTCAATAATCAATATGCACTTGAGAAAGTACTAACAAGAGTTCCCAAACAGTTTGACTTCTAGAATCTACACCATTACCACCATTAAAGTAGATTCAAAAGATAAATCAATATATATGGAGACTGATAGGGCATGCATCGTGTTAGAATGGATATCTCATCTGTTAAATGATTAGCTTGTGCTTTGTGAAGCCAAATTCGCTACTCTATATTATATAATAATTGTAACCGTTGTTCAGTTTGCTTTACGCAATTGCTTCCTGCACCCCATTAATTTCTACCTGCACCCTATCATTTTTGGGAATTCCACTTTTACCCTTGATTGTTTTATATGAAAGTTGTCTCCTTCCTAGGTACTGGTTCACTGTGTGTTCGTGTGGGTTCTCCGGGAAGCTTTGTTAGAGGTGCGTAATAAATGTTGAAGGTAAGATCTCCAGAAATAGAAATCTGGAAATAGACTTCTGAGAAATATGACCCGGAATAGGTGTGGGAGGTGAGAAAAGGTTTTCCTTTTACTAAGATTAAAGTACCATTCTGGAAAGATCAATTTGGAAGGAATTGAGTTGACCATGCATAAGGCTTTCGAAAATGAATTAAATATTGTATTGTTGAATATGTGTTCCAGAAAAGGAAATCCTGTCGTATAGATGTGCTTTTCGAAAGGCCATTCCGAAAGTGTGAAAATGTTCATTTCGCAATTCTTTATCCCGACCTAAAGTTGACAATTCCGGAATGCCCTTTGAATAGGAGTTTCGGAATTGTGCTAGTACAACAGAGAAAGTTAAATCCAAATCCAAATTCCTCCAAAACGAACTAAAATTTCAACTACCACTACTAAATTACGAAATGGACTTCAATCATGTTAGTTAGACTCATTTCTATTACTTTTGACTCTTCGATTTCTTGTTGTTGATAACCATTTGGCTTGTTCTGGTCATTTGTGGTCGAACGTTCTCTTGTGAGCGTTCGATTATGTAGTTCGTTTTTGTTTTTGGCTAGACTGTTCGGTCTTTGCTGTACTCGGCCTATGTTCGGTCTCTACTGCTTACGATCGTTTAGTTTTATTTCTATCGCTTGGATTGGCTATATATTGTAGCCTGTCTCTGTTTACAGAAAGTATTTCAATCTCGAAATATTCTGATCATCTTTCTCTCTGTGTTTTTTTCTCTTCTTCCTTTTCTGGGATTTCTATTTCTTTGTTTCACACTCGAATCCAACAATTGGCGCCCACCGTGGGGCAGTGAATCAAGAAACTCAAGAAGCGATGACAACCAAGTTCGATATTGAGAAGTTCAATGGTTCTAATGATTTCCGGTTGTGGAAGATCAAGATGGAGGCTATCTTGATACAGCAGGGATGCGATGAAGCGTTGAAGGGTGAGTTGAACATGAGTGCTGCGATGTCACAAGAAGAGAAGAAAAGAATGGTTGATAAAACAAGAAACACAATCATACTGTGTCTGAGTGATAAGGCACTGAGTGAGGTTGCGAAGGAGAAGATTGCGGCTGGAATTTGGGCGAAGTTGTAATCTTTGTACATGACGAGATCGCTGGCTCATAGGTTGTATTTGAAGCAACAACTCTATTCGTTCAAGATGACAAAATCAAGAATCATAGAGGAGCAGCTTGCAGAATTCAGCAAGATTGTTGATGATTTGGAAAATATTGACGTGAGGTTGGAAGATGAAGATAAAGTTGTTATTTTTCTGAATGCGCTTCCAAGAACTTTTGAGCATTTCAGGGATGACTTGCTCTATGGTAAGGATCAGGTGATTACTCTAGAGGAGGTTGTGATGTCAATTCGAACCAAGGAGTTTCAAAAGCTCCAAGATTCGAAGGCAACCGAGGAGGTGGCATCTGGGCTGATTTCGCTGAAAGGGAAATGGAAGAAGCACGCTGGAAATGGGAAGAAGTCGAAGCTAGAAGGTGTGAAACAGGTGAGATGTTTCAAGTGTCAAAAGATGGGACATATCAAGAAGTATTATCCAGAGAAGGGCAAAACCGTTTGGCCACAGGAAACTGCTGATGTGGCAGAGACTTCTGAAGGATATGAATCTCTTGGTGTTCTGGTGGCTTCGTCTGAAGATTCTCAAAGAAGCTGGGTCATGGATTCTGGCTGCAGCTATCACATGTGTCCGGTGAAGGAGTTCTTTGAGAATATGGATCAGAAGGAGCATGGAAATGTGCTGCTGGGAAATAACAAGGCTTGCCGAGTGCAAGGAGTGGGGTCGGTAAGACTGAAGATGTTTGATAACCAAGAGATGGTACTGCAGGATGTGAAGTATGTGCCTGAACTGAAGAGAAATTTGATTTCAATAAGTTCCTTTGATCTTAGAGGTTACACCATGAAAGTCGAGCATGGAGTGATGAGGGTGTGTTCTGGAAATTCTGTGGTTGTCAAAGGCAGAAGGAAGAATGACTTGTGCATTTTGGAGGGATCCAAGTCATTGGTCATGTCTCAATAGCAAGTGGGAAGACTGAGAACAACGCTCGACTTTGGCACTTGAGGATGAGTCATATCAGTGAGAAGGGTCTTGAAGAATTGGAGAAGCAAGGCTTACTTCTAGGTGATAAACTGCAGAAGCTGGATTTCTGTGACCATTGCGTCTTAGGGAAATCACACAGGATACCATTCGGTCAAGGGAAGCACTTAACCGAACGACCATTTGAGTACGCCCATGCTGACTTGTGGGGTCCTGCAAGAACTCATACTCATGGTGGATGAGTGTATTTCCTAAGCATAATTGATGATTTTTCAAGAAGAGTGTGGATTTACATTCTGAGAATAAATTTGAAACGTTTCAAAAATTCAAGGACTAACATACTCAAACCGAGAACCAATTAGGGTATAGGTTAAAATGTTTGAGAACTGACAATGGTCTTGAGTTTGTTTTAGAGGAATTTAATGAGTTCTGCAAGGTTAAAGGGATCAGTAGGCACAAGACTGTGGTGGGAGCTCCTCAACAGAATGGTTTGGCTGAAAGGATGAACAGAACAATTCTGGAGAGGGTTAGGTGCATGCTGCTTGGATCAGGGTTGTCAAAGGCTTTCTGGGAAGAGGTGGCCAATACAGCCGTATACCTGATTAACAGGAGTCCGTCTTCGGCTCTCAATTACAAAACACCAATAGAAGTTTAGAGTGGACGACCGACTGACTACTCAAACTTGAGGGTGTTCGATTCTTTGGCGTTCGCTCATGTCAAAGGAGATAAGCTGGATGCCCCAGCGGTGAGAAGTGTATTCCTTTGATATGTTGAAGGAGTTAAGGGATACAGGTCGTGGAGGTTAGATACTAAACCGTCCAAGGTGATCATTAGTAGGGATGTCGTTTTTGACGAAACAAGAATGACTATGCATGCTGGAAATCCTGAATGCGAGAAGAAGATGCTCGTTGAGGTGGAGCATACTACTGATGGGGTTGTTCAGTCGTTGAATGAGGAAGACCGAACGGGTGAAGGACAAGATGAAAACGTTCAGTCATTAGAGGAGAACCGAACGGGTGAAATGCGAACAGATCTTGATGATGAAACAGATGGTATATCTGGTTATGTGAGTCACTCAAGAGGAGATGGTGATGAATAGAGGAATTATCAGCTTGTCCGTGATAGGAAAAGAAGGATCTCTAAACCAACCAAACGGTTTGGAGAGGCGGATTTAATTTGCTACGCCTTGAATGCTGCTGAAGATCTTGAAAGCTCGGGTGAACCAAGAAGTTACAAGGAGGCTCTCCATAGCAGCGATCGTCATCTGTGGTAGGGTGCTATGGAGGAAGAGCTGGAGGCATTGAGGAAGAATAGCACCTGGAGATTGGTGGATCTGCCAAAGGGTAAGAAGGTTGTAGGTTCAAAATGGATCTTCAAGAAAAAAGAAGTTATACCAGGGGTGAGAAAGCAAGGTACACAACAAGACTTGTTGCCAAAGGCTTTACTCAGATTGAAGGTATAAATTATCATGAGATTTTTGCTCCTGTCGTGAAGCACTGTTCGGTCAGAGTTTTAATGGCGATAGTTACTCATCGCAATTTGCATCTAGAATAGTTGGATGTGAGGACTGCGTTTTTGCATGGAAACTTGGAGGAAACAATTTATATGAAGCAGTTGGAGGGATTTGCTGTGGATGATAGAGTGTTCCTGTTACAGAAGTCTTTTTATGGCTTAAAGCAAAGTCCAAGACAGTGGTATAGGAAATTTGATGATTTTCTGATGAAGCTAAACTTCAAGCGGTGCAATTATGATGACTGCATGTATACTCTGAACCGTGACAGTGAGGTACTGTATCTTCTTCTATACGTGGATGATATTCTGATTGCCAGTAGTGACAGAAGCATGATTCAAGAGATGAAAGCAAAGTTGAGTGGTGCTTTCGAAATGAAGGAGCTTGGAGAAGCAAGGCGAATCTTGGGCATTAACATAAAGAGAGATAAACTGAAGGGAAACTTGTTTTTATCTCAAAAGAGTTATTTGCAGAAGGTGATTTCAAGGTATCCAATGACTGAATCCAAACCGGCTTTCACACCGATCGGTCAACACTTGAAACTTACCAAAGAACAATGCCCGAAGACCGAGAATGAAAGGAGGAAGATGGAATCTGTTCCATTTTCAAATTCCCAAGAGCATCATGTATGGCATGGTCTGCACAAGACCTGACCTGGTGCATGGGGTAAGTGTTCTTAGTCGGTTTATGATTGATCCTGGACAAATTCATTGGGAAGCGTTGAAGTGGATGCTTAGATACATACAGGGGTCTCTTGATACTGGATTACTCTTCCAGAATAACTTTCAAGGTGGAGGTTATATTGAAGGTTTTGTTAATTTAGATTTTTCCAGGTGCATGGACATAAGGAAATCCCGTTCGGGATATGTGTTTACACTGTTCGGTACTGCTGTAAGTTGAAGGTCTACATTGCAATCAGTTGTTGCCCTGTCAACTACTGAAGCCGAATACTGTGCGCTCGCTGAAGGGGTAAAGGAGGTATTGTGGTTAAAAGGCTTGATTCGAGAATTGGGTATTGATCAAACGACCGTCCAGGTTTATTGTGACAGTCAGAGCGCCATACACTTGGCCAACTATCAGATTTACCATTTTAAAACAAAGCATATTGACGTCAAGCTGCATTTTGTCAGGAGCATTGTGGAATCTGTTGATGTCCAAATCTGCAAAATTGCATCTGAAGACAACCTGCAGATATGCTAACTAAGCCGCTTGCTAAAGAGAAGTTTCTGAAGTTGTTGTCCAGGATTGGTTTTTTACCGTTCGGTCTGTAATTATGTATCGTTCGGTAATTTTGTTCTTTCTTATAATAAATGAGTCTAGGTGGAGATTTGTTAGTTAGACTCACTTCTATTACTTTTGACCGTTCGATTTCTTGTTGTTGATAACAGTTCGGCTTGTTCTGGTTGTTTGTGGTCGAACGTTCTCTTGTGAGCGTTCGGTCATGTACGTTCCTTTTTTTCTTGGCTGGGCTATTCGGTCTTTGCTTCCACTGCTTACGATCGTTCAATTTTATTTCTGTCGCTTGGGTTGACTATATATTGTAACATGTCTCTGTTTACAAAAGCAGTTCAATCTCGAAATATTTTGATAATCTTTTTCTCTTGTGTTTTTTTCTCTTCTTCTTTTTCTGGGTTTTTTGTTTCTTTGTTTTACACTCGAATCCAACAAATCAAATAAATAAGGTGTGAAGCTAAGAATCATGGATCTCAGACTTTACAACGAAGAAGCTTTCGGAGCTTATAACGAAGGGAGAGAATCTTCCATTTCCATTTTCT